TCTCTCTCTCTCTCTCTCTCTCTCTCTCTCTCTCTCTCTCTCTCTCTGTCTCCTGGACTCAAAGTGACCCAGAAAATTCTCAATCTATTTCCATCCCGGTATAAAAGTGTCTGCATGGTAAATCCATCCCACATACCTGGCACAGCCCAGCATTCATGTGGGACACTGGGCCAAGAGCCCTGGGGTTCAGCAGAGCCTGTCACCATGTCCCTGCCCACCCCCATCCATGCTGGTGCAGCCTCCAAAGGCTCCCCCAGGCCTCTTGGTGGCAGAGTCCCTTCTGCTCTGTGTTCTTCTCTTTGGACATTTATTCTGCATCTCCTTCCATGCTGCCTTTCACCACCCACCTTCCTTCCGCTTGTGCCGTTGTTTTCCTCTGACCATAGCTTCAAGGAGCTTTCTCTTTGTCAGTGCAGAACCCAGCGCCCTGCACACTGCAGGCAGGCGCTCTGTTACTGACCTCAGCCTGAGAACATTCTTAATACAGAAGTCATAAAACATGAACTTTACATATGTAGTATCTAGAATTAGGCTTTAAAATTCCCATTGGCTTCAATTTTTTTTCTTTTCAGTTATGGGACTAGAACTTGACAAAGCTCATGTCTCTAAAGCTAGTCCCAGAGCAACCCCTCCAGCATGCCACCACTGTTTACAGGGTCAAAGCTGTCCCTCCACAGTGTCACGCCTCCTCCCCAGCCATTCTCAAACGCTTTTCTGTCTAGATGTGAATCCACGTGGAATAATTTCTTCCAGGGTATATTCTAGAAATTTCGAAAGTGCTTGATCATATACATTTCACAACTTTCCTTCTGTTATCTGTCTTGTCTGTGATAAATCTACGCACATAACTCACGTTCTTTCACTTCAGGGAACCATCCGCTGAAGCATCCCAACTCTCCTCCTTACGGACTTTTTTGTGAAGGCTTATTTATTTTCATTTTATGTACATATGTATCTGTGTACTGAATGCATGCCTGGTGCCCGAGGTGGCCAGAAGAGTAGCAGATCCCTTGGAACTGGAGTTTCATCTGGCTGTGAGTGACCAGATGGATGCTAGGAACAGAACCTGGGTCCTTGGCAAAAGCAGTGAACACTTTTAATCGCTGAACTGTTTCCTCAGTCACCTCCCCCCCACACACACACCATTTATTTTGAAATTTTGATTATTTAGCACAAAGACTCTCTTTCCAGATCTCTTGGTAGGCAGGTATGAGGCTTCTCTGGGAATGCACGAGAAGTGTGATGGCTTCCAGAGGCCCCACGCGCTGTTTCACCTCTGCTTCCTCTCTGAAGAGGTTTCCCAGTTTACACTCCCTCTGAAGGTAGTGAACCGGTTTCTGTGCAACTGTACAGAACTGTGGAGGTCCTGCTGATTTTCCCAGACTCGTCCTGTGCCTCTGTCAACTCTGCCTTTAGACTGTGAGCTTTTGTGTCCTCTAGCGAGATCCACACAGCCAGTGTGTGTTTCCGGCATCGACTTAGTATGGTTACTGATGACAGTCACTCCTTGCCCCTAAAGTTAGCTGTACACACATTTCCTATAAGAAACATGTAGTCTCACCCACCACTTCATCTTCAGGGAAGGAAACGATCGTGTTCATTGCCCTCAGAGTGGGTCTGGAACCCTTTCAAAGCACACAGCCTGGGTCTGAGGTTTAAGGAACTCATGCCTTTGGACCCCTCTCCCTTGCCAGGGCAAGGCCTGCAGTCACTTAGTCCTCAGAATTGCTGGGCCTCTCTTGGCATACTGCAGGCCAGTCCCGAATCTTGAATCTTGATAGTCTTGATATTCTATGCTAAAGGTTGCATCCGTCATACTGATATAATGATGCCTTGAGAAATTCCCTGAGGGTAGTTGGGTTGTTTCTTTGGTGGGTAAAACTCCTAGGTAAACAGTGCCGTATAGTGCTAAGAATTCCTGCTTTCCCACACAGCACTGCAGGGATGGGGGTGGGAGGGATGAAGGGAAGGATGGGCTCAGAGCTGGCCTGTTTGTCCAGGGACCCAGCCTATTGACTTACTTCTCCATCACACCTCAGATATCACCATTGTTGCCTTAGCCCAGAATGGCTCAACATCATATCCTCCATCCAGGCAGGATTTGGGTTTGATGGAGAATAATGGTGAGAGGGAGTGCATTCCCCTTCCTTTAAGAGTAATTACTCAGAAGCCGCACGCTTTATTTCTGCCTGTATGATGTTGGCAAGCTGTCGGTGAAATACGCAACAAGAAAATGTTATTTATCTGAGTGGTCATGTACTACTCAGTAATGAGGGGGCTCTACTGCCAGTACAGAAAGGTATTTCAAGGACACAACCCTTCAGAGCTCAGTTACAGAGATTACAGATGCAATAGTACAGACCCCAGGGCTGTTACAGCCTTGAAATATGGCATAAATTTTGAATGTATTAAAAATTCTTGGTCTCTTTCTCTTTGGTTCCGGAGACTGTAGCCGAAGAAAAAGACACACAGAAGCCGTCAGTTACTCTACTGAGGATCAGATCAAAAATCCTGTCCCAACTCCATCCCAGTCCAGAACAGAACCTCTTTTAAGTAGGAGCTTCAGTATGTGTTCTACTAGATGTGGGGTATGGACTTGGATCTGAAGTCACAGATTAAACACATTTTCCCCCCAAAATTTATGTTTTCTTATCTACACTTTTGTTTTTCTGAAACACTGAACAAAATGCCAGATGAAATAAGGCTAGAGAAGAAAAACATTTATTCTAAGACCTGGATTATCATTAGGCTTCTCCTCCTAAATGACCTGGAAGCCATTGGCAAAGTTAACAATTTGCATTTGTTAGACTGCCCAAAAGATGTTAAATCAGTTCAGGTGGCCGATCTTCTTTTTTTGCTTCCAAAAAAAGGAAGGAAAAATTGCTTCCAAAAGGACTTGGTGTTCTTTCTAGAACATGATTTAAGCTTCATGATGGTTAGTTCAGTTCAGAACATACTAGTTGAACATCTATTGTTTACCAAGATGGGTGTTCTGTATTCAGAGGACATGAGGGGGGGAGGGGTCCCTTTTAGATATAGTTAGATAAGTTTAATCAAGAACAAACTGACACCTGTTCCAGAGGGATAGAGATAGATTCACTCCAGCTCAGGATGACTGGGCAAGGCGCCTGAGAACCTGGGGACTCGCACCGGATTCCGCTAGTTAATACTGACAAAACCCGCATCCCATTGTCTCTTGACAGAGGCCCATTTCTTTTGCTGTTTGAGGATAGATTTGGGGGCCCTGGGGAATGCTGATTAGTTCTGTCACCACGCTGGTTAGTGACAAACGTTGAATCGTGCTGACTAATGTGTTCTAAATGGATCGACTCAACAATAAAGGGAACGCTGGGAGTCAAGAGTTCAGGTCGTGAATCTCACCCATGTGATGAAATGCAAATCACTTCGCATCTTCCTCCTCTTTTTTTCTTTCTTTCTTTTTTCTTTCTCTCTGTTTTGTTTTTATTTTGTTTTCTTTGTGTTTTCTGTTTGATTGCTCTTTGGCTTTGGTCAATTAAAATGTGTTCCTCTTGAGCATCTAGTAAGTTACCTTGACTGGTAACATATACTTTACAGACCTTAAGGGTGACAGGAGTGCTGAGAAACTACAGGAAGACTTATGCCACCTTACTTAGTTTTTTCTCATACGCCATGCCGAATCAGACCGTCCATCACACGGACGCTGCTCCCTGGCCGTGCGAACCTTGCCTTTCCTCACATATGCCGTGAGACCCAACAAAGGGTGAGCTGCGTTCACCAAGCCTGACAAATAGAGGCGCTTTTGAAAAATCTTCCATCTACCTACTGGGGCTTCTATGCCTCTGGACAACAAATGTCACCACAAAACTTAAGCGCTCGCATTGCACACATAGCTCTTTCTCTCTTTTGACATCTCCCCAGCGAGACTGCTTGAGAACCTGGCCTTCCACATCCAGATGTTTACTGAATTCTGAAGGCCCCCCAAAGGGCCCAAATTCTTTTGTTGCTCTTCAAATCATTTCCCACAGAGACTGACCAATGTCCTGAAGGAGCCCTTCAATAGAGAGGATAAATGAAGGCAGATGAAGACATGACCCCCCGAGGCTTGTCCGCGTCCACTCTAACAAAGGGCCTGAGGCACAACCTTGTAAGGAGCGTTTTGGTCAGCAGCGTCCCTATGAGAGGCCAAGTCTCCCCCACAGGGCTGTTTTCAAAGGCTATCATCATGGTGGAAGTCCTGGGCATTTGTTAAGGGTTGTGGTGTGCTAGGTGTAACATAAAACATCTGGGCCTTTGTGAGGGTTTCCTGAGGCTACAGATGGCAGCTGGCTTTCGCAGAGAAAACTTGGGGGTAACAGAAACCCAAAGAGGGGCTCCTGTGTCTTTGGATGGTCCTTTCCCACCCACTACAGATAGACTTCCCCTTTTGTATGTGACTCTTGGGAGTTAAGCCAGAGTTGCTGGACCTTAACCCTGGCTGGGCTGTCTCTGGGTGTCTCTGGGACATGCCAGGGTTGGCCCTGGGGGAGGGGGATGTTGCTGCAGGAAATGCTTTATTTAGATTACTAATGGGAAGCTAGTACATTTCATGAAATTTTCTTTTTAACTTTCCTTTTCTTTCTCTCTCTCTCTCCCTTTCCTTTTAGGCCAAGAGAGGCCATAGGGATACTGTGACCTTTGTCTAGAGCTGATGGGGGTGTGATTTGTGAAATGAAACAAGACCAAGACGGGTGCTGCCTGCAAAAAGGAAACGGAAGCCAACATAATGAGGAGTAATTGGTTGATTGCCATTGAGATGGCAACTGTGATTTCAGACCCGGAAGGGAAGGTGAAGATGAAGAAGGCTTTGTCCGGTCTCTAGATGTGGGGGGCTAGGGGCTGTACACGGTGGGGTATCAGCAGCCATAATAATAATTTGCACTTACATAACACTTTTCACCCATGCACCTCAAAGTGGTTTAACCACATTAATTAATTAAACCCCACAATCCCCCTGGGGAGAGGAGGAGGAGGACTAACAAGATTTGTAATTACAGAAGGGAACATTTCCGAATAAAGTATTGTCCAGCAAATAAAAAGAATAGGTGCAAAAGAATTGGGGTCTCCAAAGAGTAACTGATTCACAACTGAAAGCATGGAACCATGGGGGACACCGGAGGCGGGCGTGGAGGTGGGGGTCTGCTCTTGTGTCAGAGGGAGGTCGGTGGCCTCAGAACTCACTGACAGGCTCAGATCCAGCTCCGAAGCAAAGCATGCATGGTATTAGTGTTGTCTGGAAGGTCATTAGTGGCGTAACTATTGTAAGTATAAATTCACGTTCCACTGGTATATTGTGTGTAGCCTTGCAGAACAAAGAGTGAGATTCTTGCAGAATTTAATAAAGGATGAAGTGATTTCTTTAGAGTTGAAGCCCAGAGCTGGACCACTCAATTAGCAAATAAATCAACTGGTGACCCATGGGATAATTCAGTTCTTTCCCTTGGATGCCCAGCCCACCCGTTCCCACTGCCCTGAGGCTCCTAGGCAAAGTCTCAGATTGAGCTGGTTCAGTGCAAACGTTTGGGGGCTTAAACACCTTCAAATTCAAGTGTTGACTCTTCCCAGGGCTGGCAAAGTGGCTCAGTGGATAAAGATATTTGCCGCTGAGTCTGATGGCCTGAGTTTGAACCCAGAACCCACACGTCAGAAGGAAATACCCAGCTCCCCTAAGTTGTCCTCCGGCCTCTACACATACACATTGCACACACAAAAAGAACAAGAGAGAGAGAGGAAGAGGAAGGAAAAGGAATAAATGTGAAGCTATTTTATTTTTATTGAGACAGGATCTCACTGTGTAGCCCTGGCTGGCCTGGGACTCACTAAATAGACCAGGCTGACTTTGACCTCTACCTCCAGATTACTGAGATTAAAAACATATGCCACCATACTCAACTATAAAATTATTTTTAACAACAATCTTTCCAGTCTCTGACAACCTACCATCAAAGTTATTGCTGGCCTCAGACTGTGGGTCCACTGCCTGCTCCCCTTTCAGAGATTTTCAAAGTCATAGGAGGTAGAATGAGCATCATGTCTCTTTCCTTGCCTCCTATTGGTACCCAAGAGAGTGCTATGCAAAATGTGAGGTGACAGTGATGAGAGACTGACTCTGCTACCAGCTTAGGAATTATTGAGTACATAACAATATAAAACGATAGAACATTTGCTCCCCTCAGTAAACGAATCATGAGGAAACTCATTCTAATAACTATACTGCAAAACGGAATGAAGTCACGTGATAGATAATAGTGAAGCCCTTTGCTGCAAAGCACAAGGACATCTTGCTGGGCTGGCATGCCAGGCGTGATGGAACCGGAGGATTTGTGTAGGTCTGGAAGAAGCTGCCAGGGCCGCTCCTCCAGTCTGAAGCCATGTGCTTCCTCCCGGTGAGGGGCGTTTCATGAACTTGTGGTTTTTCCATAGAATGCTTTGTGCAAACCAAGCTGTCATGCATTCTTATGACACAAACTGGCCAACTTAAGATAAGAAAGGAATATTTGAGAAGATGTTGATGAGGTTTGGTATACACTAGCCCCAGATGTAAGGAAACAGCAGAAGGAAGATTGATGTCTTCCCCTCTCTCTTCCTTTCCCCTGAACAGGTCATAAAACCTAGCCAGCTTTCCCCTGAAGTAGACCATAAAGACGTCCTCCTAGAGTTGCCCTCCCTGGGCCCTGAGGAAAGGAATGTTCTTATCTCTCCAAGGCGTGGGGTTGAAGAGGAGACTATGAGCCAGCAGGCCAGCTGGATCTGCTCCTAGCTTACTGCCATTAGATCATACCTCCAGTCAGACTTCTTCCCACTCTCTTTAAAAAGAAAAACAAAATCCACTTGTTTTCCTGCTTCTTTGGGTCTTCATTTCTAAGGAGTCTGTGTCATATATAAAATATTAGATAGATGTGTTTGCTTTTCTCTCATTAACCTGCCTTTTGCCATAGAGGTCTTGCCATGGGGAAGGAAAAAGTACCAGTGTTTCCTGCCTGCAGTTTCTGGTGCCCAGCATAGGGAGACTGAGACACTTTCCTCAAGCCTGTAGGTAAGACCCTTGGACAGCTGACAAAAAGCCAGTTGCATAAGAATCTTATCAGAACCGGCTCTCCCAGATCTGTCTGCCAGGCCTCGTTGAGAAGGAGGTGGATATTTCTTCTCTTGCTTCCCCAAATTGGTATTAGCAGTTCAACATCTGTTTGAACTGACTGGCTGGCCCAAGCTAGCTGGGAGCTACTTACTCACGCTGGCCCTTTTCTTCCCAGTGACTCCTCTCTTCCCCTCTCCTTATGGCCTTTTCATGTCCCCAGTACTTGGCTTCACTTCCACTTATCAGGAGTCTCAAGGAAACCAGTTTTGCATATGCTGACAGGGCAGCCATCTTCAGGCTGTAGAGCCCCAAAAATATGGCTGCACGAACCTGCCCCTAATGATGGGCGCTCTCGGAGGCTCTCTCTGTCTTCCCTTCTTCCTTCCTTTCTTTTGCCCTTCTTTGGGGCGGTCTTGGGTCTGGCAAGAGCAGCATCTTTTTGTCTCTTTTGAGGAAACATGTACTCCAGTGTTTACAGACAGACACATACACACAGAGATACAAACAGACACACAGAGACACAGGCACACACACACACACACACACACACACATGAATACACACACACACACACACACATTTTGGGTTCTGCATCACTTAATAGATACCTTTGGTTTGAAAGAAAAAAAAGTAAATATATAAACCATTCTCGTGTCCAGCTTGCTGGTTTTAATAGGAATGTCAGCTCAGCTACGGACCTTGTGATAGATGAAGAAAAGAAAACGTTTTCTCCACTTTTGGAAAAATGTTTATTCTCTACTGCACTTGGGTCTCTCTCCACTTTGACTAAACTAAAAGAGAAAAGTGAAGCACTCCATGCATTCAAATGGATCACTCAAAAGTATCTGAGAAGGTTTTTACAAAAGAAAGACATCCCCTGACCGAAATGTGAACAACTGGCTAAGTGGCTTCACCCTTGAAACTCCTATTGGCTTCTTCTGTTTGTTGATTGATTGATTGATTGATTGATTGATTGATTTTTGGTTTTGAACCCAGAAGGCTCTGGGAACTCTATACCCAGGGCTTGGCAAATCCACACAGCCCTTTCCCAACCCTTCTGCCACATGCTGTTGGGACAGGCCTGGACACTGTGACAACTCACACCGAGCACTGCATGGTGTGCAACGCACTGGGCACACTTAGTTGTAGTGATTGTTTCCGGTGAGGTTGGTTGTCACAGTGTTCCTTCTGTACTGATGGGGGCAGGGATCGACCTCTTGATGGAAAAGTGGGGTGGGGATTTAACCCAAGCCATTTGCCCAAGTAATATCTCTGTTTGCCTCTTATGCCTGCCCAGTTCACTAGCGTACTTGATGCGGGAGAATTGTCTGTATTCTGTCAATCATATTTTAATAAAACGCTGATTGGCCAGGCAGGCAGTATAGGCGGGAAAACCAGACAGGAAGTAGAGGTGATACAATGAGAACAGGAGAATTCTGGGAAGCAGGAAAGTTCCTCTGCCACTCCTACGCAGACCACCGAAGAGGCAACATGTAAGCTGTCACACCGAGAAAGGTACTGAGCCCATGTGGTTAACATAGATAAGGATAATGGGGTAATCTATGTTATAAGAGTTAACAAGAAGCCTGACCTAATGGGCCAATCAGTTTATAACCTTATGGAGTCCTGTGTGTGATTTTTCCTTGGGACTTGCCAGCTGTGGGGTACCGGGCAGGAATAGATACTCCAACAAGCTGGCCCCTCATGTTATACGTACTCAGCAAACACTCTACCACTTTAGAAACCAGTGGTCGTTATTCACATAATTACAGAAGAAACACTGCCGATTGGATCCGGTGCTCTGAGTAGTGGCTGCACAGCCTGGGCCTGGGGCTGAGGAAGATAATGGAAGTGTCACCATTGCCTTATATGTGCCCATCACTGTTCAGATACTGGGAGAGACATGCAGGAAAGATGCACAGGAGAGAACCTACCAGGCTGCTGCTACCCAGGATGTGCTAGCAGGATATCTCATATTAGTGTTACTTCTACAGATGATGCCATTCTTTTATGTGTATATGCCTCTCTGTGGATAGGGGTGCTTCAGTCCTGGGGATATGCAGAAGATCTGGACTGACCCAGAGACGTGGCGCACTGTGCTTGCTGTCTTTTAAACTCTGCTGTGAACAAAGTCGCTCAGACGGGATTGCAGAAGCCTGTCTGTCAAAACCTCAGATTGCTCAAAGATAATTCTAGAAACAGAGGGAAAGGACGGGAAAGAAACAAAGACAAAGTAGCTGATTATGAGCAATGCTCTTGGGTGTTAGCACCACCCGGGAGAGTCAATAAAGATTGGTTTCAGTCTCACGGACATCACTTTGGCTCAGTAGCTAGTACTCCTCTAAAGTTCACACTTCAACAGTGGAGGTCTCGTTTTAGATAGAAGGAAGGATTCGTCATACTTCTCAGCCGAATAAGCCAAGACAGAGAGAAAACACAATGCCTGCGTCTCTGAATTCTGCTGAAAGCAGATCAGATGAACCATACTTCCCAGCACCTCATGCAGTCCTGGGAAGAAGGTCAACAAATGACCAAGTATAAATCATGAGATTTGATTTTGCTGCCCAAACACCGGTGACTTAAAGTCTGAGTGAGCCTGAGAGACTCTGGACGTGGGATGACTCCCTGTGGCACTTCAGTGGCGGCATCCCTGTCCACATTGCCACTTTGGTGGGGGATGGGGACTTAAAAAGTGACCAAGAGGTCTAGAAGGCGGTTTAGGGACCAAGAGCACTTGTCTCCCAAAGGGATGCAAGGTCAGATCCCTGGACCCTTAGCAGCAGCTCCTACACACCTGTAACCTGTAAACTCCAGGGAATCCTCCAACCCCTCTAGCCTCCAAGGGTGCGTGTACACACACACACACACACACACACAAACTCTTACAGAGAAATCAAGCACTGGCAATTAAGTTCTATGCCCAAGAAATGACACACCCCACTTCTTCCAGACTTCACGCTCATGCAGCCTCACCAGAAGGGAGCAGGAAAAACAGACTTCCCTGAAGAGAACACCATGGTAGTGACTCCACAAACATCTGCTTCACTGTACTGGCTGGCATGGGTCTCCTCCCAAAGTCACTCCTTATGTATACCCTCCCCTTGGATCGCTTGTCATATATCAACTATCTTGGTGGAGCCATGCTGAGGGAGGGAGACCTCTTTGAAAAGAGAGAGAGAACCAAAGAGGACCAATGAACTCAGTCCTTTTCTCTCTGTGCTTTTAGCTACCAATAACTCTGGGAAAGTAGGGTGAGTTAGAAGGAGTTGTGCCCTGCTCTGCCT